CCACATAGGTGCCACATATTCTATCAAATTCACTATGATGTTTAAGTTAGAACTCAAGTGGAGAGGAATGAGCATGGAGCATAAAGAATAAAAGGGCAGTAATTTAAAGGACGGGAATCTGCTAGAGGATGTGTTTTGATTTCTCATAAAGAGTTGTGTCGGGGAATGCGATTTACCTCTATTAAGGTATCTCTTTTCCTTATGTATCGAGAGTGATGAAGAGTTATAATGGGATGTCTCATGCCAAAGGTCCAGCAAGGACCATCGACATCCTTTATTTCCCACGGTTTCGCATAAAGGGGGCTGGACAACAACCTGGGTGATCCTCTGAGGAAGATAGTAGTTTGGGTACAGGGTGTGAACACCCTGCCTGCTGGCTGTCCCCTGTACAAGGTCATTAGCACTCGACCCTATTCCCAGTGTGCTCAAATCTCCTTCGTTGTGCTCAACCATGCCGATCATGTTGGTTTCTTTACCTAACTGTTGTGGCTCAGTTGGCTTTTTGACGCGAGACACTTCGATTTTACCAAATAACAATACATATCTAAAAATAATATTCATACGTAAAGCAAAGAATATATATCTTTTTAATTATAAAAATTCCCGTCTCCCAATACGTGTAAACTCATCTACTTTTTTTTTCCAACAACGTATTGGCTGAAGATTTTAACTCTCCTCATTTGGTCTCTCACACTTTCTTGATCTCTTCACTTTTGTATTTTATTTTACTGTTTTGAGCTTACTTCGTTTATTTAACGGTTGATAATTAGAGAATGAGAACATCAATTGGATGACAACGAGTTATGTTATTTATTCATTATTCCAGATGTGTTAGTTTTAACTGGGTTTGAGTTGTGCATAACTATTCCATATGGATGAATTTGTAGGTTTCTAGTGAGATATGTCCACTTCATATTACAAATTTATCGACCAAAGCATAGAACATAGTGCAATTGGTTCAAACATCACTTACCTCGCTAAAGGCTGAACTTTGGAGTATCGAACCCCTCCCAACCCTCTTAAACTTAAACAAAAAAAAATAATAATAATAATAAAAAAGAGCCCTATATTTTAACATCGCATCACATTTCATTAATATGCTTTCCCATTTTCTTAAGTAGAAAGATTTATTTAGAAAAAGGATTTCTATTTTGATGGGATAAGGTATATCTCATTTTTAATACAACAACACGTGGAAGTAGGATCCATTATAAAATAAAAAAAATAAAAAAACATGTAGGAGTGAGAATTCAAACCTAGGATTTTTTAGTCACTTAGTCCGAGGAGAGTTTGTTTTTTAAAAAAAAAAATTAATTAAGCAGTTATTCTTTAGTAATCACCCCTATAAAAGCTAAAGTGGCAGTTGCAATACTGGATGCTCTTCAAAACGTCCTTTCATTAAATTTGAATGAGCCTTTTTTTCTTTTTATAATGAAAAGTTGTAAAACATACAAATATAAGAGTATATAGGAGTGGACATTAAGAACGTAATTTTAAAACAAAGATAATTAGATAAGTAATAAAAATAAAAATAAAAAAGAGGAAACTACATGGTAAAATTACATTTTATTGTAATAAAATTTAAAATTATTGTAATCACTCAAAAGTACCTTTTTCACTAATATAAAAGGTGCCAAGTATAATTTTGATGCAAATATTGAGAATAAGAAAAGTGCACCTGAGGACTCGTTTGGTAACGTTTCAGTTTCTTCTTTTATAATAAAGAAAAATATAATTGCATGACCTCCAACACCCATCAATTCAAGAATGACGAAATAATTTTTTCTATTTATCTTTAAACAAATTATTGTTATTAAGAATTTGTTTTTTGTTCCAAAATTTATGTACAATCTTGAGAATGTTTCTAGAAATTGAGAAATTATAAACATAAAAAAAGTTTACAAATACTTAGATTTTTTAATAAAACTGTTAACGACAAACAAGAAACGGAAATGTTACCAAATGAGCTTAAGTTTCCGTTTAATACTTAAAAAAACAAAAAATAATAATAGTAATAAGAAAAATGGTAAAAAAAACCAATGAACTCATGATGTAATTTGTAGTTTGAATAAAAGTGATGTCTGAGAATAATATATATAATAATAAAAAGTGGGTTTAGGAGATATATACAATATTATTGCTGTCTACTTTTTCAACTTTATTTTATGGAATTAAATGCTGTAATGTGTTGTCATTTTAATGTATGTTGTCATTTTAATGTATGTTGTCATCCCTCCTATACTTTCAAGAAAATGTTTCAACTTTGAATTTTTTTTTTTTTTAAGGATAGAAACGGGGCTAAGCCCAGAAAGTACAAGATGATATGATCGGGTATGGAGGCCCCTGCAATGTCTGTCAACACTAGATGATGGATGCCTCGATCCTCATGGGTACCCAATCTGGTCGATCCGAAAATTTTTGGTTTGACTGGAGATAGGAGTCAAATCGGGATCCTAATCGAGATTCTCGATGGAGATGGGATGGGGGAGGTCCACCGCCCCGTTTAATATTTTATATATAAAAAAATATTAATATATATTATTTTTTATAAATACTTTTTTTATTTTATAGTTGTATTTAATTAAATTTTACATTATTCTATAAGAAAATTTTATATTTTGTAAAGAATTAAATTTTTTTATTTTTTTCAAATAAAATAAAATAAGAATAAAAAAAATTAGGGACTGGTTCCTCTCGCAGGGAACGTCCGTCCCGGCCCCCAAATTTCGGGGATGAGGGCGGAGATGAAGAAAAAATCAACAGAATGGTGATGGAGATGGCCCCTGCTTTCTCGGTTACCATCCATATTAACCTTTTAGTGCCAGGGTTATTATAATATATGTTATATAATATTCTGTGTTTTAAGGTTATACTTGTTTATTATTGACCCACCAAATTATGAGCAGTCTTGCACCAATATATATTTGAAAGGTTAAGTTCAAAATTTGGACCAGGATCCGGAAACTCAATTGAGTATTTTGAATATGACCTCAACATTATTCTAAAAATCTTCACAATCCTATGATCTACAGCTGTGAGATTAGCAAAATAGCAACGAAATTTAAGATTTTCAAATATACCACTTAAAAAAATCAAGGTCCAATTTTAAATTCATAACTTGACCTAAATGATACATCTCTATAATATATCTTTAATATATGATATATGTATGTGATATACATCTGATCTACTACTAATATGAGTATCTTATATACATGTCATTTGTATGTGATATACACCTAATATACTAGTGATATGAGTATTTGTGCCATATATATGTGATATATATCTGATATACTACTGAAAAGAGTAGGTTTTGAAAACCTTAAAAACCAAGTAAGGGTGTTCATGGATTGGATTGGGTTGGGTAAAGGGGATTTTTTACACCAAGTCGAATTTTCGGGTTGATCAGATATGAAAACCAGCAAAACCGAGTGTGACGGCCTACCCAACCCAAAATTTTTAGGTTGGGTCGAGTTAGATCGTCAGGTTATTCTTAGTTTCAATTTCAAGATCCAAACAAACGAAAATAGGAGAGAAAATCTAGAAACCCTAACAATCACAACAAGAGATATATTTCAAACTTTGAACTTCCGGATCCAAACAAATTAATAGAAAGAAATAGAATAGAAAAGTCCAAATACAAAAAATCTCTAACTTAACATCTACTCAAACACAATAGCTACTAATATATAGACGGCAACGAAGGTGGCGATGACAAGCGACGGCCTACGATGACGAACGATGGTCTACGACGACGAACGACGAACGACCTACGACGACAGGGCTGTAGTGATGGACGATGGGCGACGAGTAACGACATGTGGCAACGGACGATGAAATCGTGAGAGAGGTGAGATGAAAAAGGAAGGATGATAGTGATGAAATTTGAGATGAAATCATGATAGATGAGAGAGGTGAGATCGAGATTAAGGGACGAAAACGTGATAGACATGATGATGGTATGATGATGGTAAGATGGAAGATGAGATAGGTGAGAAAAATAAAGGTGAGAGAATGAGATGTAAATACTCAAGAGGTGGCCAGAAAGAAAAAGATGGAACCTTAGATGCATAAATATATAATAATAATATAATTCGATTCGGTTCGATTTCGATGAACCGAAATTTTTGTGGTCGAACCTACAAACCGAACCGAATTATTGTTCGGTTCACACAAAATTTAACCCAACCCAAATCGTGGGTCGGGTTATCAAATTCTTTTTTTTTTCAACACCCCTGCTCCGAAGGCAAAGAGTGGAGGCGACTAACATCCGTTTCTAGCTCTTTGTGAGAAATTTCACAAATTCCAATAACAAAAGGAAAATTTGAAAACAACTTCTTTTTTTCCTAGAGTTTAGAAATTTTGCTCAGGTTTTAAAATATTTGTAAAGATAGAATACCAAATAATTTTTTTTTTCAGTGTAGTCAAGGCATGATTTGAAAAGTCAGTTATGAAATAGACTTCTTGTTTTTTCAAATTTGGTCAGGGTTTTAAAATATTTTAAAAAATAGAAAAATATGTTAATATAAAAGCATGATTTTTTGAAGGGTAGAAAACTAAAATAAATAAAAAATCCAATATTTTTCGAAGTTCTTTAACTCATAATTTTTATATTTTATCTGCATTATTAAAAACTTTTGAAATTATTAAACAAAATTTTTACCCAAACTTCTTCTTAAAACTATTATTTTCATTTTATTATTATTAGTTTTTTTTAAATTTAGTTTGGATTGTAAAGTTCTTGAAAAAAATAATTTATAAGAAAAAAAAACAAAAGTTTTGTGGGGAAAAAAAAAGAAAAAAAAAGGCAAACAAAAGATCGACTTTTTGTAAAGGTTCCATGAATATATACGTCTACTTTTCATGCATATCACATCAACCTTATATTCCTTTTTTCTATTTTGAAAATTTTACTCGATTTTTTTTAACTGATTTTTAAAAACTTTAACAAAATAAAAAGGAAAAGAAAAATATAGCTATTATATCCTACAGCGTACCTGAATAGAAGGGCGAAAAGGAAGGTAAAAACGGGAATACAATTTACAGTTGCTGCCACTAAACTTGCTGATGTATAGATAAGAGCAACCCCATGAAGATTTAGACTTATGGTTATCCTGCAAAATCATCAAACCCTTTAATTCAAGCTTTTCATTGAGAAATCGATCTCGATAGACGACCAAAAAGTGAGTTACATTTTATCAGTTAAATAATATATTATTCTTCTTACGATTTGATACAATTTCTGAGTACCTTAACATTTCCTTTAACTTAAGAAAAGGGAAGATTAAGAAAGATAATACTACTGATTGCATGTTCTCTCTAGATTTTCGAAAAAAGTACGAGTCTTGATATGTAGACTACTCATAGTGTTTAAGGATTTTGATCATGAGAATGAATCTTTGGATATCAAAAGCATTGAAGCTAGACTATGATAAATCCAATCTTCTCAATCCATCATTGTTCGAGATCTAGTTAACACGTACCCAAATAAATAAAGCACGAAGATCTTGCAGAAGGTCTTGAACGAAAGAGGCGGCGCAGTTTTCCTGAGAAACAACCCGAAAACCTAAGCGGGAGAGGCAAGAAAATTCACCAAGAAAATAGGGAAAAATAAAGGAAAAGATTAATGAAGTAATTAAAGTAACTAATTACCGTTCAAAGTAGAAAGCTATAGGAAATATGAAGAGTGTGGCTATGGCTTGCCTATAGAAAACAAACACAAAGTTGCTCATTCCACCATCAAATGCAGCTTTGGAGAGAAGAAACATGCCTGCATATATGCTTTGTCTCACAAACACAGCAAAATAAACCTTCTTTTCTTCCATCTTCTACTCTAAACGCCAATAACAATGTTATTGAATATTTTGCACAAATTTATAGTGTCTCAGTGGGATTCCCACTTTGGCAAAAAAAAATTAATATTTGCATATATTTGTGGCCACTATAGTTTATTCACCACTTAATTAAATAAAGCCAGCAACTTTGTATTTTGATTTCTAAAATCTTTACAACTATGTGTATCTTAAAAAAAGTAATCAATATCACAAATAATAATACTAATAGTAATAATAATGAGTGTAATTGAAAATATAGTAGATTTTAGCTCATGATTAAGATTTTAACATGCCCATCGGGATCGTGGCTCTTTTGACTCAACGATCTTGGCGGATCGGACGTTCGTTTGACTTTAGACAGTGATACCATAAATATCCATGGGTTCCATCTCAAAACCAATTGGCAATTAAAGGAGTAGTTCATGTATATTATATACCATTGTTAGATCCCTTTCTTTAAAATGTGGGATACTTAACAAGTACTTATTCCATACAGTTATATATATACACACACAAATAAACGAGTTTAATTATTCCTAGTGTTGATAACTTATGGTACACTAAGTATTTGATGTGGAGTTATTAATTGACGATTTTTTTAATTTTTTATGTTGAGATATATTGTATACCATTCAACATTTAACAAAGTCTTATAAAAGTAATTAACAAAATGAATTTAGAAATAGGACTATGGTTCAAAAAGTTGAGTGAGGATCAGCTACAACTTACATCATCACATTAATTATTTCTTTAAATACAAACTTAATGCTGTTTCACAGGATAAATTTTTCTTGGAGGTTAATGTTGAGTGATTCATTTCGCACATTGTAAGCTAGATTTCATGAGATTATATTGAATTGTTTGTTAGTTTCGTTTCTTTATGACAGATTTACACACATAAGACATTTTGTCGGAATGAAGTATCCAAAGAAAATGAGACATAAGTGAATAAAATTGAGAGGATAATAATAACCCGAACGAGCAACAAAGATATATTACGACACTTTTTGGAGTTCGAATAACCAAGAGAACAGAGCCGAGGTGCCCTAAATTAAAATATGTCACAATACCTGGAGCAAACAGAGAGTGAAGCTGGAAAATTTAACCCGAGAGGCCGTTGGCGCGGCACTCTGAACTTTCTTTTTGCATGCCTTTTTCCTGTGCTACACCATGACACTGAACTTCTGGTATCATAGTGCTATCGTGCAATTTATTTTATAAAACTAAGTTTTTCAACTGCCGAGGGGAACTTCCTTTGGGATAGAAGACATTAGATACCTTGAAAATAGAGGGAAAATGAACATCGATGAGCTTAGAGAAGGGATTGTAAAGGCTTGGACTCATGGAGATTGAGTCGAGATGATCAATCGACACAACATATTTAGTTTATTTTTTTCCCCTTGATTTTTGTACTTTGTCGTGGACCTTTGTTTGGAACTTTGTTGTCTTACATTGAATATGAGTAGCTAAGTTCCCTTGTCTTCACTCTATACAAGGAAAAAAAAATGAAAATAAGGATTTAAAAGAGGCATACTAGAGGAGGGACACGACCTTTTGGAACTACCGAGCATCATAATTGATTGTGTTTAGATCAAGCAACAACTTCAAACAAGATTTGTGTTTCATCTGTTGAAAATCGAGATAGTTGGATTTTAGTTAACAACATCGACGTTCTTGCCATGGTCGAAGTAAATATAGGCATTCCAAGCTCAGGATCCAAAATTATAAGTTAAACATTGTTGGAAAAGGTAGGGTCAAAATTGGAACAGTCAAGAAAATTATCATTGCCTGGTAGAGCGTGAGTGTGGGTCATGGTCTGGACTTACCCCAAACCAAGCTTATAAGCCCACTACAATGTTTCTGCTTATAAAACCTTTCTTCAAGTGTTATCCATCAAGTCCATACATGGACAACCCAAAGAAGAGCCTATGGATTCACATAATGCTTCACTGAATCCATGAAGTCCATATGAAAATTATCCAAAAACGACTATGGATTGACATAATGCTCCACAATCATCCACCAAGTCCATACCTGGACCACCCAAAATAATGGCTATGTATTCATATAAGTGAGAAATATCATGGTTTGAGTCCCATACCTCATAAGGACTCCATAATTTCCCTCCTCGTTTTGCCTTTAGTGACGGGATTTGCTAGTTTCCTTCTTAACCTCAAGTATTTCAAGGAGATAATTTCATCTTTAAGCAACTGCTTCAAAGCTTCATGTCTTAGGAGTATGTGGCATATGTTGTCATTGTATACACTGTTTTTGATAATCCATATGGCAGATTGTGAGTCATAGTGTAGGGATACAAGTACAAATTTCGCCTATAGTGGTACGTCTCCAAGAAGACTTCTCAGTCATTCAACCTCTTAGCCTGTTAGTTCAAGTGCTATGAACTCATATTTCATGGTGGAATGAGCAATGCAGGACTGCTTTGCTGATTTCCATGACATAGCTCTTCTTCCAAAAGTAAATACATACCCGCTAGTGGAGCTTACCTCATCGTTATCTGTAACCTAATTTGTATCACATTATCCTTCTAGCACAAAAGGAAACTTGTTAAAATACAAATAATATTCCATCGTACCTCTAAGATACCTTAATGAACGATGTAAAGTAGTCCAATGTTCTTTGCCATGGCTATGTGTATAATCCACTCAATATACTCACAGCATATGCAATATCAGGTCTATTGTAATTCAAAAAATTGCATATTTAGATTAAGATATACTATCGTCCTGATTCTTGTTACGACTCATGCTAGTATCATAATGTGTTTTTACAGGTGATTTATCATAATGATTAAATTTCTTCAACACATTTTCTCAATATAGTGTGATTGACAATAAGGTAAATCCATTGTCATTTTTCCTTATTCTTACACCAAGTATTACATCAGCTTCTCCTAAATCTTTCATTTCAAAATATAAAGATCTGAGTAACTTGGTCTAATTAATGACATCTATGTTCGAACCCAAAATAAGCACTTCATCAACATATAAGCAGATACTCACACAATCAGCTCCTAAAAAAAATTACTTTATAAACATTATTTATTAATGTACCCATTAAGTTTTTCATACCATTGTGTAGGAGCTTGTTTAAGACCATAGAGAGACCTTTTAAGCTTACATACTTTATTTTCTTGACCAGAAACTAGAAAGCCTTCAGGTTGTGTCATATAGATCTCTCTAAATCCTCATTAAGAAATGTCCTTCTTACATCCATCTAGTGTATTAATTAAGCTACAAAGAATAGCAAGATCTATCAGAGATATAATAGTAGATATCTTGGTTACATGAGAATACGCATCGAAGTAATGAATACCATATTTTTGTGTGTAATCCACAACCACTAATCTAGCTTTGTACATTTTTATCGTACCATCTGGTCTCATTTTTCTTTTAAATATCCATTTACACCTAATAGGGTTGTTTCCCATGGCTAAGTCTACACTTTTCAGGTTTGGTTCATAACTATGGAGTGTAGTCACTTTTAATTGCTTGTTTCCATAAGTTAGAATTTAAGAACTTATAGCTTTTTGGTAGGTTTTAGTATATTCGTCTATCAGATCTTGTCAAAGTTTTGCACTAATTAGATAGTTAGGAAGTCAAGTCTGGAACTTTTACTAACCTTTTGTCTTTTACTTTTCCAAGATTCAAAATCAGTTGCATCATTGGTCCTATCTATTGCTATCATTATAAGTATAAGGCATAGACATGCATGTTTGCTTTGAAATCCCACTAAATTCACCAGTAGTTTTAATCATATTGTAATGCCCCCGACCTTTTGTAACTTTCATGGGAAACATTACTAAACGTACGAGTGCTAAACTTCCTCCCAATGCATAAAGACTACTAAATGAACCTAGATAATTCAACTTTTTTATTTGCTCAACTTAAACCTGTAAACATTTCACTTATCAAATGGACAAAATAACTTGTCATTTGTGGACAAGCGACACCTAACTCACCTGTTTAAGTCAAGCAAAGCCAAAACAAGTAAACGACGATAGATGAACAACCTACTCGACAAAAGCATAACCCTACAAGGCAATAACGAATCAACTAAGCAAATAAAAACCACCACAAAAAACACAAACAACATGCTCAGCACACAACATTCGTTACAAAATATTACACTATCCTCCAAACATCCATAAATCATAACACTCATTAACCCACACATGTAGTTAAAGAAACCCCGACAATAAGGCCTGCTAGTGGCCCTCACTAACTATATACCAAACAACATGCTCGTATTCACATCAATCATTAAAATGAGATAACTAGTACCCATGCATCGATAGGTCATAACGATTAATCAACACACACACAGGCATCCAAAATATCAAGACTCGCATAACTTCGACCACAAGGACCGCTGGTCTCTAGCTCCTTCAAGCTACTTCTAACCCATCACAATATGTTAGTTCTCCAAGTCTAACTCATCAGATGGTATCGACCCTTGACCTTTTGTACCCATGGCCCCGACACTCATCTACAAAAGCATGTTGTTCGACTTTGACCTTTATACTCGAGGTCTCGAACTGTACATTGACCCTTGACTTTTTGTACCTAAGGCCTCGACGTCTACTAGGAATATTGGTCCTTGATCGCCACCAAGTGAAGACCCAATACTACTCATCAAATAAACTCACCATACCGACCCCTGACCTTTTGTACCCAAAGCTTCAATACTCATATCTACCAAGACTGGCCTATCGACCCCCGAACTTTTGAACCCGGATCCTTGACACCCAGTAGTGACGTAACAGCCTCGACCATTTGCCCCTGAGGCCTCGAACTGTGCATCAACCCTTGACGTTTTGTACCCAACGCCTCGACGACTAGCGTATTGGTCCTTGACGGCCACCACGTCAAGATCCAATACTCATCATCAAATAGACTCATCATGACGACCCTCGACCTTTAGTACTCGGAGCCTCAACACTAATCTCTACCAAAAATGGTGTATCGACCCCCG